TACTATGTGCCAGAACGTGACACTCTGATCCCCTAATTCTACGTGTCGGTTCGTGACACCCGATCCCCTAATTCTACGTGTTGGTTCGTGACACCTGATCCCCTAATTCTACGTGTCGGTTCGTGACACCCGCTCCACTAATCTCATTCTATTAATTCATCAAGTCTTCTTTTATACCAAAGCATCATCAATCTCATTACTTAAGTTTATCAAGCCTTCTCTTATACCAAGGCATCATCAATCTCATTACTTTAGTTCATCAAGCCTTCTCTTATACCAAGGCATCATCATTAACAAGATAAATTTAGGATTAGAGATTCAATAGACTCATCATGCTTATTCATCATAATTATATAATCACATCATGTAAGCACACAATTAAGCATATAGAAGGTTTTATAATACTACCCAACACGTATCATTCGCTATTAAGAGTCTACTACGAATAACATAAAAACCATAACCTACCTCCACCGAAGATTCGTGATCAAGCAAGCAATTTCCCAAAGCTTTGTTTCCTCTTCGTTTCCCTCTCCTCTCGATCGTTCTCTTTCCCTCTCCTTGTTCTTTCTATTTTTCTTATTCAAACCCTCTTTCTTTTACCCTAATTAACATATAATTAAGTATAAAAGATGATGAATTAACCCATTAATTAATTCAAGGTTATCTCCTTTAACCCTCAAGTAGTTAAATTATTAACATAACCCACTAAATTTATAATTATAGCAGGAATAGTCCAAAACGTCCCTTAAAACATTTAAAGAAATCCGACTCAGCCTGGGATTACGCTGCCTGTGACGGTCCGTCGTGCCTGCGACGGTCCATCCTGCTGCTTCCGTCACAGAGTTCAGAGACTCAATTCCCTGAAGAGTCTGTGACGGCCCGTCACGCCTGTGACGGCCCGTCCTGCCATTCCGTCACGAAGTTCAGAGAGTCGATTTCAGTACCCAAATTTCAGAATTCTAAGTGTTTTGGAACGAGACCCCCTCGACGGTCCGCCGTGCCCATGATTGTCCGTCGTGGGATCCGTCGTCTCAGCCAGTTTTTCCAGAAATAAAATCTGCTGCTCAAAATGACTAAACAGGTCGTTACATTTAATCTGTGTAACGTGTGTATATATATAGAAAGAGAGAGGGAGAGACATGTTTCATAAGAAGATACCAAATCGAAGTTTAAAAAGAGATTACGAATTTTAATGATAATGCATCTGATTTAAATAAGATCATTGTGTGATTGGTATCAAAGGATCTATCTGAACACCATGTTGACTCATATGACACTATTAATTTCCTATAGTTTAATTAAGGAAGAGATCTAAGTGGATATCAAAGTGACCACAATTGCAGGAAGAAACTTGATAAAATAATTAATAATCCGTTTGGATAGGTTTAACAGCTGTAATTATTTTTTATTTTTTTTTGGATTGTTTTGTAAAATTTAGATTTTAGAGTAACTTTTAGGCCAAAACAAAAAGTTAGGATGCTCAATTTATTGCTTTTGTTTAACAATTGTTTTACTTGGATTAATATGATAATTCCTTTTATTCAATCTGTTCAATAATAATTGTTAATTATTGATTTGAAACAAAGGTAAAGAAATCATAAATAATAGGAGAAATTTTACACTTATTAAACATAAGTCATCTAAATATTAAAAAATAAATAGTAACAATATTTAATTACGATGGCAAAATAGACATAAAATGATATAAATTATTTATTTTATAAACTAGATAAATATTATTAAATATTTCGAAATAATATAGAAACCATTTAATTTGGGTCATTTACTTACCATGTAATTTCCAAAGTCCACTATGATAAAGTCAAGTTCCTACTTTTGTTTTCTTCGTCAAGATCCTACTTCAAGTAGGACATTGGCCATACTTTTCAAATATTCTCTATTTTATTTAGAATTTGTGAAATAGAAGATGAAGATGAAATTGTTTTTTACATTATAATTTTTTATAAAAAAGAAAAGAGCAGCTCATTTGGAATTTACGAAGATGGAATTGAAAAACAGATTGGTAATACTTTCCAAGTTTGAAATCAAACTCCGAGTTTAAAGAAGTAGATCATTTTCGTGGCCTAATGACTTAAATTAGGTCATCCATTGGATCAAATTTTTTCTTGTGAAGTATAAAATAAAGCATTCGTATGCCATAAGACAGACCAAAAATTGAATCTACTCAATAGATTAAGTTGATGCAACAGATGTAATATTTCAAAAGAATGTTAGAGGATATTCCGACTTAATTCTTTTTTCATTGAATTTATTGCATTAAATTTGTTGAAAAAATTTATAATGGTAGAGGTCCAACCAATAATAATTGGGTGACCCTCCATTGATCAATTGACTCTTAGAGAAAGGTACATTTCTTTATCTTTTTACTATCTATTCACCTCTCTTTTTTTCCATTTTCTTATTTTCTTACTTCTAATAAATATTTTTTAACTTTATTTTCTTAAGACGTTAATATATTGAATAAAAGAATTAATAAATAATCTTTTACCACAATAACTAAAAACTTTTTTAGGACTGAGTATTTAAAATAATTCATATCACTCAATATTTTTAATAATATCAAATTAACTAAAAAAATATTTAGTGTTTTGTCAATTACTAGCACCTAGAAAAATAAATTAAATCAAATTTGGTTTTTATTTTCTTAATTCTGTTTTAATTCATATATTTAGTCATTTTCTTAATAGGGAGTATCCGTTATTTTTCTTAATTTAAGTTAAATTTTTTTAAAATACTTAATATAAAAACGTTGGGAAATATATATTATAACTGAATGTACGTAAAAACACGAAAAAATGAATTCTAATAATATTAAGGGTGAATGATATTATTATAATAATAATATAATGATTAGTTAATTTAAAATTATATGGAACTGATTGATTCTTGAAAATAAATTAAGCATTGTAAATTTTGATAGAAAAGACTTAAATTTTGTTGTGTGACTCGTGTCATTTGTATAATTTTATTATACGTTAAAGAGTCTGTCATATGCTGTCTCATTATCTTTCTTATATTTAAATATTGTTATGGCGAAAGAATTAGTATATGTAATATTAAGATAATATCAAAAATCAAAACAAAAATAATCTTATCAAATCAATTTATATGCTAAAGTAAATTAGTTTGTATTTTGAGTTGATTTATTCTATTAAATATACTGAAAATAAGTTCATTTTTTATGTTGACAATTTTATGAGTATCTAAAGTTATTTAAACAGAAAATGTATTTATGGATTTTTTTGTTTATCAAATGTATTAATAATTTAATTATGTTTTGAGAATTAGATATTTATTAAGGGTAAGAAAACAAGAAGATGAAAGAAAAGAGAGGTGAGAGATGGCAAAAAGATAAAGAGTGTACCTTTATTCGAGTGTCAATTAATCATTCGGCTGTCACCCAAATATTATTGATTGATTACACCTCTGCCATTTGTAAAATTTTTCAAATTTGCCTACGGATGCAGAATTTTCCTCGAATTTCTGATGTGTTTTCTTGTAAATAGTGGCCATTTGTGTAAGTAAATGCCCATTTCTCCTCCTACAAAGTCCAATTCCATTTTTCCCCCAATCCACCATGGCAACACCACCTCCAATCTTCATCTCCACCGCCACTCTCCACACCCTTTTGACCCACAAATCCCTCGTCGACCACCTCCAATTTTCACTCCCTACCTTCGCTTCCACCACTGAATCCCCACTTCGCCATGCTCATCAAACAAGCCCTTCTACCTCTCTCCTCCTCATGCCTTGTTGGTCTCGTGCCCCTTCACTTCCTTATATCGGAGTCAAGCTAGTCACTTATCATCCCAATAACTCAACCCAAAATTTACCTGGGGTTCATGCCAGTTATGTTCTTTTCAATTCCATTACCGGACAAACTTTATCCACAATGGATGCCACTGAACTCACAGTCTATCGAACTGCTTGCACCTCCGCTTTAGCTTCAAAATTCTTATCAAGACAAGATTCAGAGACCCTTTTGATGATCGGTGCAGGTACTTTAGCGCCGCATTTGATCAAGGCACATCTGACAGTTAGGCCAAATTTGAAGAAAGTCATAGTGTGGAATCGAACTGCTGATAAGGCGAAGCGGGTGATCGAGAATTTGCAAAGTGAAGCTAGTTTTGAAGGGGTGAGTTTTGAGAGTAATGCATCTCTTGAGGAAGTTGTGGGGTTGGGAGATATTGTGAGCTGTGCTACGAATTCAGGGACACCATTGGTGAAAGGGAAGAAGCTTAAAGAAGGAGCGCATTTGGATTTGGTTGGATCGTTTAAGCATTCGATGAGAGAATGCGACGATGAAGCGTTGAAGAGGGGAAAAGTGTTTGTTGATAATGAAGCTGCTATGGTAGAAGCAGGGGAGCTTGTGGGTGCATTTGAGAGAGGGGCAATTACAAGAGATGATATTGTTGGGGACTTGTTGGAATTGATCAAGGGAGAAAAGAATGGGAGAACAACTGCTGAAGAAATTACGGTCTTTAAATCAGTTGGTTCTGCTGTTGTGGATCTTATCACAGCTCAATTGGCATATGAGACTTACATGAAAAGTCATTAACTTTAAATTTATTTGTTATGTTCTTATATCATGATACAAATAACGATAATAAGGGCTTATTTTTACTCTAGTGCTTGTTCTATGTCTCAATAAGATGGAAATGCAGTTTAATGTGGTATCAAACAGTTTTGACATTTTGTGATATGAAAATGGTTTTTTTGCTTCCACCCGGTGTCCAGAGCCCACATTGGAGCTCCCACTCTGGCTTCATTCAGAGGTGGCACTTCCAACATGATTTTTTCCATAACTCGAGACCTCTGATTAAGGCTGAAACGCTCACCAGTGCAGTAATGCACCACTCTACATACAATCCAAAATAGAATGTGGGTATGTGTAGCTAAATGCACTAAGACAAATCAATATTTAGGATAACTGCTAATGGCATACGCTTCACATCAGTCTAGCACAATAAAGAATGTTTTAAAAAATGTATTTAGCCAAAATTGCATTTGAATTGAACTTGAGTAGAACAAATTGAGATTACAAGTTACAACAGTAGTAAAGGGAGAACCGAGTATTCAAGAACTCTACTGAAGAAATAATTCTAATGGGATGAATCAAAGAGTATGTATTCTGTCTATATACAATTTTGAGCCAGAAGTATAACAAAATCTACAGATTTTTTTTTCATGATTCAGTTTGGTGAGTTTCTTTCTTTTGATGTAACTTAGGGTGGACCCTTGGATACAGCAGATCGTTTAATTGTCTTTCCGCACTGTACTCCGAGGTTGCCTGTAAATAGAACATTCTATTACTATTTCCACACAGACTTTAAGCAAAAGCATGGCACTAAAGAATCAATATGTGCTATGTTTTCATGGTGTGAAACTTTTTACTTGCTCAGATGAAAACAAAAGAGTTATTATCTTGGAACTTGGAAGTAGCAGAAAGTTATACTCAAAAACCAGAAAAGCTATAGGGTTAAAATAGCATGTATGAGAAATATGTAGAAACATGCTGCACTTCTATCCATTTGATTCAGAAAATAAAATTTCAGATACCCTGTAAGTGGTTTTACATGAACACAGAGTCTGCATGTCAGATCAGTGTCAAAGACATAGGTACATTGACAGCATATTCATTTGAATGCAGCAAATATGCAGGGACACTGGAAAATGAAGTTTGAATCTTAAAAACAAAACATAAGTACGATAAGTATCATACCCGCTTTTTAAAGGAAAACCGCACTGTCTGAATTTGTGCTCCAGAGCAAACTCTTACGTCAAAACCAAGGCTGTCTACACCTATCAGAACCACTTCCTGTCATACAAGACAAAACGAAAATAAACAAATTATTCGGTGGGACATCACACAAAACAGTGATGTGGTTCAACTCTTACAGTTCCATGTTCATGCATCAAACAGACTACAAGAAGGGTACATTCTCATATTGAAATAATAACAATAAACAAATAAGCAAGAAAACACCAGAAACAAGAAGTTAAATGATGTCTGCACACACGTGTAAGAGAGAATTTTATTCACAATAATAGCATCAAGTAGCTACTGGGAGCATGCAAAAGCAGCAAATTAGTTTCCATTTCATCAATGTATGGAACTAACAAAATCCATCGGTTGTCTACTACAAAAAAAAAGATGGCTCCAATATTTGGGAAGTACCTACTTATGCAAGTTAATTCATCATTAGAAGGAAAAGATTTGGGGAAAGGGGAGAAAGAGTTGCAGCTTTTGCTTTCTATATTTTATTTGGCTGTTGACTGATGAAAAATGTGAACTATTTGATGGATTGTAAAGCATCAAATCTTTGAAAAGAAGGAAAGACAACAAAAGCTCTAGAACATAATCTAGGGGAACTGAGATTGGTCATACCTCCACTTGAATTCCCTTGCATCTCCAACAGAGAGATCTGAGAGCCTGCGTGGTTTTTTCTCCTACAGCTTTAAGCCGTGATATAATATTGGCAGCCGAATGCGCTATTGCATCAGGCCTAGCTTGACTAAAATCTTCTAACTCAACTAAGATCTGCGCACACCATTAGAAAACATAAAATTGAACGACATGAATACTGAGGGTAGATTCACAGGAATTTCCCAATAGAAAAATTTGTTAAGTTTTTCTAATCCATCAAAAACATTCTAGTGTGAAGAATTGAAGATGCAGGCAGGACATACAGCACACATGTGAAATACAAAAATAATGTGGATGATAATGACTAATGAGTCACTGTATTCACGTATATTAGCTGATTCAGCACTGACAAAGAAAGCATCCTATGGAACTTGTCCACGTGATCAGCTTGGTATCCAATCTCAGAGTGTATCACCATGTCATCAAAATTCTATCATGACAGAACACTTCCAGTTCTGCTTCTGGTGTTAGCTTTAAACTAACTTTCGTCTTTGCATGTAACAACTGCAGAAAAGTGAAAAGAATACACTTTTTCTCAACTTGTTAGGAATAATAGTATGCTATTTTCCTGTGATATTTTTCTTTTTCGACTTAATAAATAAGGTGTCACACACTTATATATGCTTCCCGTCCCACCAACTGTAACCCCTCTGAGATTATAAAGTCCAAAATTCTCTGTACTTAAGTTTTGCTATGACACAAATGATTCAAATAAATTGCACCCAATGGATGCAGATCCATGCAAGGCAAGTATTGTAATGCTGATCAACAAATTAAAGGTTGAACCTCATAAATGATAAACCTACACAACTTACTTGCTGTCCATGTGAAGAAATTAACTGAATTTTAATCATCTCTAGCTTGTAAAATGAAGTTCCATTTCCAAGGGTTTCATCCTTCTCCAATTCCTCTGGACAACTTGGGTTATCTTGCGAAGATTCAGTTTCATGTTTGTGGCCATTGACTTGAACACTACCATTTTGCTTATGTTCTGCCACTTGTTCCATTTGTTTTATACCAGCATCATTTGATTCATGTTCAGCTATCTGCTTTGGAATGGTGATGTGATCTTCAAGGAAAGCTGGCCTTAGAAGGCCATGAATAATAAGACCTGCTGGAGGCTGATCCATAAAATCTATAGGATCATCTGTCACAACCTGAGCAGCAAATATAGACCACAAAATAAATGTTCGATTACTATTCTCCATGGCAGATACAAAATGTTATATGCCACCCATCTGGGAAACTAAATATAACATGATCTACTGATTTTACTGAATAAGAACTCAAATTGATAGTTCTCACTAATCTAACTACATTGCATAAACCTATCACAAGGACAATTACCTCACTAATTTGTTGGGCAAAGTGTATCGGATGAGAAGATCGCATCGTCTCTAATGTAGCCCAATCCTCCAAGTCAGGATCCCCACTCTGATCTTCTTCATCATCAAGAACAGAAACCCAATCCTGGGAACAAGTATATTTACCAACAATGACGGACAGAATAGCAGCTATATTTAAGAAGTAAACCATTTAAAACCAGTAGTACCGCTTCATCATCGTCGTCGTCGTCGTCATCATCATCGTCATCGTCATCGTCAATGTCGTCTTCATCATCAATATCGATATTCTCATCATCAAATTCATCTATATGGTAACCAAGTTCGGATTGACCTGATGACTCCATCTCACTCTGCATTTCGGATGTATCTAGGCCAATAATTACTTCCTGCATTTTATTGGAAATCAAGTAAGCCTTCGGAGAAAAGAAAATACTTTTCTTATAGTATATCTATGGAAGTTTCCATCTGAGAATCCCTTACATTTAACTTTTCATTAGAGTGTCTCCATACAATTATGGAAAGTAGAATTATGCGGTTTGATGGTAGGTTTTACCATCTGGGTGTAACACAGCTTCCTCACAATTTTCTTAAGCGTTTCTATTACATCTCTTAGAAAGAAAGAGCTTTTAAAAGGTGAATTTGATTCACAATAAAGTGATAAAAAAGCAAAGTTCCACATTAGAGACCAATGCAACAGAAGAATCTTTCCATAGGAAGATGGTCATATAATTCATAATCAACATACGACCATAATGAAAATAATTTTGTCTCTTCGATGGATAAACTTAAGAAGCATTAGATTTGGGCTATTATGCCTATTATAGACCATGAGTTGATATGGCATGGTTCATGTTTCCTGTGTATATCAAAATGGGGAAAATGACTGTGACATAATAAGGAAACTCAACAAAAGTTTAATCAGAATCCTCAAACAGGAAAATGCCTATGTGATCCAGAAACAGTTATCCACTTATCCCCAGATGAAGCAGAATCATTTGGAAGGATCCAGTGGTGGCAGTATACCATGTCAAAATTAATTGCTAGAAAATATCGAAAAGCAAACTAATACATCGTTTAGAAAAATAGAAAAACACCTAATGATGAAAATTAACTGAATTTCTTAGATTAAATGTTCCATACCACAACGTTTTCTTCAGTTGTTGGATTTTTCAGAACGTCTTCGTCATTCTTCACTTGAAAGTAGACATCTGATAGAAAGGGAAATCACAAAAACCTTCAAGGATTGAATATGCCACAAATCCAGTAAGAACTAAGAAGTAAATTATTAGCCTGAGTAAAATATGATAATAAAAAGAATTGTGCATCTTACTTCCAAGTTCATCAGTTGTGTAAGGCAAATCTGGCCAGAAAATATTTGCACGCATTACGTCGCTGATTGCACTTGAAAACATGAGTGTTGCTTTGCTATTTACCTAGGTATCAAATGATAACAACAATATATCAGCTACCATAAACAAACAACCATAATGATCAGCAGCCTAGATTATATTTGCTCATGAGCTACAAAAAATATGGGTGACTGAGATCCTGTGGACAATGTCCTGCCATTATAGTTCGTAAGATTCCATTTCAGACGATAAATAGATGCCTGAGAGCTTCATTGACTAAAAGCATAAGACAGGAAAGCATATTGCATAGTCAGCAGTATATTTCTGTTCTTTATAAGTTTATAAGGGGAGGTAACAATGTGTTTGTTGCGAAAAATCTCAGGTTGACTAGCAGGAGAAGAATTAACATAAGGATTTAATGAGGTATGGCTAAACCTACATTTTTGGGGCAGAAGCTATATACTTTTCTATTATGAATGAGAAAATAGTACAAATATCTCTAATTACAATCCCTTTTATAAATCCAAGTGTTCTGCAAACCTACAAGGACATCTAACAAAATATGGATTCACATAATTCAAAGCAAAAACAACATTGAAATTGACAAACAACATTTAAAAGCCAAGATGCACCCATCAGCTCACAGCTAATGCATTTGATTAATAAGTTTGTTTTGCAAAAACATCATTTTTAACCTCAATAATTGTCCTTGTACATTCAGCTGGCTTGAGTTGAGCTTCCTCATTCTCCATTAGTTCCGGCTCCCCAATGTCCTCAGATGGATGATAGCTCGACTGCGTCGCATTCTGTTTTACTGGCTCAGAACCCGAACTGAAATGATCCTTTGCAGTTGCTTTAATTCCAAATTTTCCCTTGCACGTTTTTCTTCCAGCATAATTATCCGTCAATCTTCCAAATTTATCTCTGCAACACAACTCTCAAATCAATAAAAATAATATAAAAATTGGGGGCATTATATGTAACTATGCAGCAAGCAAGAAGTAGTACCGAGGAGGGATGAAGAAGCTGGGAGAATGAGATAACCGGCGGGAAGTGTTATCGAAGTTAACGGCGGAGAATCGGAGGGCGGCAGCGGTGTGTTTTACCGTTAACATTTTCCGAACTGAAACGAAATCAAAGGTAGAGAAGTGCTAGAGTTAAGTATAAACTCAGCTATCTATGTGATGATTCGGCCGTGTGGTTCTCTCTCTTTTATCTAACTATCCACCTTTTTCTTTCTTCTTTTATTTATGATGCCTTGTGCGATAAAGATTCCTATGCTTACTTCCTACAAGTCGTTACTGGATATTTTACATGAATAATTAATTATTCACATTATTATCATTTAAAAAAAATATTAAAAATGTATATATATTCATCATGTATAGTTATATAACATTACAAAATTCGTTATTGTAGATTTAGATATTTCAAAATAAGTCTTGTTTATTTTACACACACTAAGTTAAAGGCTCCACTATTTGAGATGTTAAAGTGATAATTAATTGTTAAAATAATCGGGCATTATTTCTTTATCTTAAAATTTTAATCATGAATTTAGATTTGCTGTTGAAATATAATTATCTACTTTTTAATTTCTGTAATTGTTATTATATACTACTAACATAGTTATCCGGCACTCAAAAATCAAATGCCAATTGCGTCCCTAAATTAAGACGTGATGAGGATTTCGTTTTATTTAGGGTAAATCACATAAATATGCTATATTATAAAAATATTTATTATTTATAGCAATATAATTTTTCTAACTAAATATAATATTTTTTTAATTAAAAAAATTATACAATATTCGCTTCTTTCGCAACCCTTTTGCCTTTTCTTCTTTCAATTCTTCTACTTCTTCGATTTTGTCTTTCTTTCTTTTTACTCTTCTGCACCTTCATCTCTTTCTGTTTTTCGTTTTTTTTTTAATCTTCTATTTGTTTCTCTTATCTGATATCTTCCTCTTCTTTTTTTTTTAATTCTTGTTCTTCTTCTTTGAACTTTTCATTTAAAAATAACTATATTCTTCCAATCAGTTTTTGCCCATGTCACTATTTTTATCCAAAAACAAGATGAAAAGAGGAAAAAATATTAAAAATATACATAAAATCATATTTTAAGCAAAAATTTTAAATTTTCAAAATTACATAAGTAAGAGTTCACCATTGATGGTCATTATAAAGCTTCAAATTTTGAATTTTTTATTTGAATTTTACGAATTTGTGATAAGTTTGAATAGGTAGTTCCTACAAATAATTGAAAATGTCGTTTGGAGTTTATATATCAATTTTAAAAGAGTTCGGTTAAGTTTATAATTGATTTTAGGTGAAATATTAGATTGAAATGAATTAAATATAGCATTAAAATTGTAATAAAGTTGAATTAGATAATACAATATTAATGCAAATTTAATTCATTTTGAAGTTTTTGATTTATTTGTTACTATTGGATACTTAGCTTGTTTAATTCATCATTGATATAACTTATCAGTTTATAGATCATTGTCATGTCATTCGTTAGTTAAGTTCTCCATTCATTCTTAATTCTCTCTTCTAATTCAATTTTAATACTATGTCTTACAATTTTAATGCAAATTTAATTCATTTAATAGTTTTTTTATTTATTTATTACTATTGGATACTTGTTTAACTCATTATTGATACAAGTTTAATTCACTTTAAAGATCATTGTCTTGTCAGTCTTTAGTTACTTTTTCTATTCATTCTCAATTCTCACTTTCTTATTCAAAATTAATCAATTTTAATTCATTCTGCAGTTTTTATTCATTTATTGTTATTATTGGATATTTGTTTAATTCATTATTGATACAAGTTTAATTCACATAAATCACTGTCTGATATTTCATTTGTTACATTTTTTTGTTTATGTTTAATTTTCTTTTTTGTCTCAACTTTAATATTTGTCTAATATACTTTTAAATACAAATTTAATTCATATTGCAACTAAGTGATTGATTTGTAACAATTGGGTTACTTGTTTAATTCATTATTGATACAAGTTTTCTTCAATTTACATGCAGATCAAAGAATGCTCTTTTGTTTTCTACATTCTACATTCATATTTAATTATCTTTTAATAATTAAGCTTTAATATATTTGTAATACATTTTTAATTCAAGTTTAATTCATGTCTCTTCATATGTTATGACCATATGACTTCTCTTCTAATAATTCAACTTTAATATATTTGTAATACATTTTAATTAAAATTTAATTTATTTTGTAATTTTTTATGTCTCTTCATTTGTTAGATTATATTACTTATCTAATTAACTATTGATATAAATTTTATAAAGTATAAAATCATTGACTACATTACGAAAATAAAAGAAAACAGAGCAATAGAAAAAGAGAGAGAAAGAGCAACAAAAAAGAAAGAAAGAAAAATAGGACAATGTTATAAAAGAACTTACTAAAATTAATATACCAAAAGAAGGAAAATTTTAGGAAGTAATATTCTTTAAAAGGTATATGTATATATTTTATACAATGGCTATTTATAGCCATACATTAACATCAATAATGGGAAGGTGTCATATGGCATGTATACACAATCAATAGTGACGCCACCTTCCATTTACGTGGCACTCCAACTATTTTACAACACTACCCCTTGGATATCTATGTAAAAGAAAGTACATAGATATACATAATACGCATTATTTGCTGCCTCATTAAAAACCTTTCTAGGAAAACCCAGTGGGACAAAACCTAGACTAAGGAAAAAAGAGTACAGTGCGTATTTTACTCCCCCTGATAAAAACCACGATTCAGATGGTTAAGTTTTCGCATTCCAATTTTGTGAACCATCTTCTCAAGAGTTGAGGCTGGTAAAGATTTGGTAAATAGATCTGCTGGATTATCACTTGAACGAATTTGTCGCACATCAATATCACCATTCTTCTGGAGATCATGTGTGAAGAATAATTTTGGTGAAATGTATTTCGTTCTATCTCCTTTTATAAAGCCTCCTCTTAATTGAGCTATGCATGCAGCATTGTCTTCAAAGAGTATTGTGGGTATCTTGACGTCACACTTCAAACCACATCTTTCTTTGTTAAAATGTATTACTGATCTTAACCATACACATTCTCTACTTGCTTCATGAATGGCTATTATCTCAGCATGATTTGAAGAAGTAGCGACAATAGACTGCTTCGTAGATCGCCATGATATAGCAGTACCTCCGTATGTGAACAGATAGCCTGTTTGTGATCGAGCTTTATGTGGGTCAGATAAATAACCTGCATCTACATGACCAACAAGATCTGCACTATCTTTGTTAGAATAAAACAAACCCATATCACTAGTTCCCCTTAGATATCGCAATATATGTTTAACTCCATTCCAATGTCTTCGTGTAGGGGAAGAACTATATCTTGCTAATAAATTAACAGAAAATGCTATGTCGGGTCTCGTAGCATTAGCAAGATACATAAGTGCCCCAATTGCACTGAGATAAGGTACTTCTGGACCAAGAGGTTCCTCATTTTCTTCTTGAGGTCGGAATGGATCCTTACTCACTTCAAGTGATCGGACAACCATTGGAGTACTTAATGGATGTGCTTTGTCCATGTAAAATCGTTTCAAGATTTTCTCAGTATAGGCAGATTGATGGATGAAGACCCCGTCTACTAAATATTCTATTTGTAGTCCAAGACAAATTTTTGTCTTTCCAAGGTCTTTCATCTCAAATTCTTCCTTTAGATATTCAATTGCCTTTTGAACCTCTTCTGGAGTTCCAATGAGATTAATGTCATCAACATAAATAGCAAGAATAACAAATCCCAATGTTGTTTTCTTAATAAATATACAAGGACAAATGACATCGTTTATATAACCTTGTTTTATCAAGTACTCACTAAGGCGATTATACCACATGCGCCCTGATTGTTTTAAGCCATATAATGACTTTTGTAATCTGATTGAATACATTTCCCGAGATTTATATGCTTCAGGCATTTTTAAGTCCTTCCGGAACTTTCATATAAATTTCATTATCTAGTGAACCGTAAAGGTAAGCTGTAACCACATCCATTAGATGAATTTCAAGATTTTCATGTACAACTAAGCCGATGAGATATCGAAAAGTTATTGCATCCATAACAGGTGAATATGTTTCTTCATAGTCGACACCAGGTCGTTGAGAGAATCCTTGTGCAACAAGGCGTGCCTTGTATCTTACAATCTCATTTCTCTCATTTCTTTTTCGTACAAAGACCCATTTATAGCCAATTGATTTAACATCACTAGGCGTTTGGACTACTGGTCCAAAAACCTCACGCTTAGCAAGTGAATTTAATTCTGATTGAATTGCTTCTTGCCATTTTGGCCAATCACATCTTTGTTGACATTCTTCGACAGATAGAGGTTCAAGATCCTCATTTCCTTTCATAATGTTAAGTGCAACATCATATGCGAAAACATTATCCACTATGATTTTTGATCGATCAAAATTTATCTCATCACCTGTAGAACTTATTGAGAGTTTTTCATTTACTTGAGTCTCGGGTTCACTGATCTCTTCAGGAATATCAGGATTAATCAGATCTTGAATTTCTTCGTGAGATTCTTTTGTAGTGTCATTTTTTATACTTCTTTTTCTAGAATTTTTATCTTTTGATCCCAATGGTCTACCACGCTTCAGGCGTATTTGTGATTCAGAAGCTATGACACTTGTAGATGGTCCTTTTGGGACGTCGATTCGGATAGGCACATTTACTGCAGGAATATGTGATTTTGTTATCCTTTTTGAATCAGTAAATGCGTCTGGCATTTGATTTGCTATGTTTTGCAAATGGATGATCTTCTGGACCTCTTGTTCACACACAGGGGAGCGTGGATCAAAATGAGATAATGATGAAACTTTCCATGCAATTTCACTTTTAAGTTTCTTTTTCTCCCCCCCTAATTGCGGAAAATTTGTTTCATCAAATCGACAATCTGCAAATCTTGCAGTGAATAAATCTCCCGTCAATGGTTCAAGGTAGCGAATTATTGAGGGTGAATCAAACCCAACATATATGCCTAACCTTCTTTGAGGGCCCATCTTTGTGTGCTGAGGTGGTGCTACAGGCACATATACAGCACATCCAAAAATTCGAAGATGAGCAATATTTGGTTCATGGCCAAACACTAATTGTGATGGAGAGTATTTATTATAATGAGTCGGTCTGAGACGAACAAGTGATGCTGCATGTAAGATAGCATGTCCCCAAACAGTAGTAGGCAACTCACTTTTCATAAGTAGAGGTCTTGCTATTAATTGTAAGCGCTTAATAAATGACTCAGCAAGGCCATTTTGAGTATGAACATGAGCTACAGGATGTTCAACTTTTATCCCTACTGATACGCAATAAGCATCAAAAGCTTGGGATGTGAATTCGCCAGCATTATCGAGGCGAATTGTCTTAATGGGATAATCTGGAAATTGCGCTCTTAATCGTATTATTTGTGCCAATAATTTTGCAAACGCCAGGTTGCGAGATGATAAGAGGCACACATGAGACCATCTTGAAGATGCGTCTATTAGGACCATAAAATATCTAAACGACCCACTAGATGGGTGAATAGGTCCACAAATATCTCCATGTATTCGTTCTAAAAATTGAGGGGATTCAATGTTAACCTTCATTGGTGATGGCCTAATAATCAATTTGCCTTGGCAACAAGCAGCACATGAAAACTTATCATTTGTAAGAATCTTCAGGTTCTTTAATTGATGTCCATTTGAGTTTTCAATGATTCGTCTCATCATTATTGATCCAAGATGACCTATTCGGTCATGCCAAAGTACAAAAGTCTTTAAGTCAGTAAACTTCTGGTTTACGATAGAGTGTGCTTCAATCGTACTTATTTTTGCATAATATAGGCCAGAAGATAAAGTTGATAATTTCTCCAATACATATTTCTGGTTTGAGACAATCTTGGTAATACCAAGGTATTCAACATTCATTTCATTTATTGTCTCAACATGATATCCATTTCGGCGAATATCTTTAAAACTTAACAGGTTTCTTGGGGATTTAGAAGAGAACAAAGCATCTTCTATGGCGAGTTTTGTCCCTTTAGGCAGAAATATAGTAGCTCTTCCGGAGCCTTCTATTAAGTTTGAATTACCAGAAATTGTAGTAACATTTGTTTTTCTTCTAAGCAAGTAGGAGAAGTATTTCTCATCTTTGAATATGGCGTGCGTTGTTCCACTATCAATTACACAAATGTCTTCATGATTGATCATTGAGGTATCCATATACTCTTCAAGATAAAAGATATAAACGATATAAACATTATAATATTATCACTAAAAAAAAAACATTACACAACCTTTTAGTTATTTACAAGTTAAGGAAAACATATTCATACTAGTTCATACAAACGACAAAAATGAAACATATTTATATTATTACAGATCCATCACCTATCAGGTGATCTATCTTTCCTTCGGGATTCTCAAAGAAATCCGCTACATCTAGATGCATGGGTTCAACAGTATCTTTCGAGATAAAGTTGGCTTCAGCGTTATTTTTCACCTCCTTCAGGGAAGCTTGATATAGCTCAACCAGGTGCCTTGGCGTACGACAAGTACGTGACCAATGTCCTTTTCCTCCACATCGATAACATTTGTTGTCTGAATTTTTCTTCTGCACTACATCATGTTTTTCATTCTTCTTTTTACACTGCTGGTGTTGAAGGTTATTATTTAGTGCAAGACGATCACCATGATTGAAATTTCTTCCTCGACCACGACCACGGCCACGACTAGGGCCACGACCTTTTTCACGCCTAGATTGGTGAAAATTTACCGTATTTACTTCAGGAAATGGCATAGAACCAGTAGGTCGACTTTCATGGTTTTTCATCAGTAAGTCATTATGTTGTTCAGCAACAAGGAGATGTGAAATTAATTCGGAATATTTTTTAAATCCCATTTCTCGATATTGCTGCTGTAGAAGCATACTTGAGGTAGGAAAAGTGAAAAATGTTTTCTCCAACATATCATGGTCAGTGATATTTTCTCCACATAATTTTAATTGTGAGATAATTTTAAACATGGAAGAGTTATACTCACTGATAGATTTAAAATCTTGAAGTCTCAAGTGGATCCAGTCATAACGTGCCTGTGGAAGGACGACCAACTTCAGGTGGTCATATCTGTCTTTTAAATTGTTCCACAATACCAGAGGATCCTTAACAGTGAGATATTCCATTTTCAAACCTTCATCAAGGTGATGACGGAAAAATATCATCGCCTTGGCACGGTTTTGATTCGATGCTTCATTATTTTCTTGGATGGTGTCTGCTAGACCCATCGCATCAAGATGAATTTCTGCATCGAGTACCCATGATAGATAGCTTTTTCCCGATATGTCTAGAGCAAGAAATTCAAGTTTAGAGAGATTAGACATTATTAAGAAAATGAAATTTATACCTCCGAGGCTTTTAAAATCTTTACTTGAGCTGGCAGAGACTCGTGCTGATAACGTGTTATAAAAGAACTTACTAAAATTAATATACCAAAAGAAGGAAAATTTTAGGAAGTAATATTCTTTAAAAGGTATATGTATATATTTTATACAATGGCTATTTATAGCCATACATTAACATCAATAATGAGAAGGTGTCATATGGCATGTATACACAATCAATAGTGATGCCACCTTCCATTTACGTGGCACTCCAACTATTTTACAACAGACAACATAAAGAAAGGAAAAAGGATTAAAAAAAGAGAAAGAAAGAGATGGAGAAAAAGAGAAAGACAGAAAGGAGAAAGGAGAAAGAGCGACTCATATAAAAGAAAAAAATTTAAAAAGATAATGATAATAATTAAAGAATATATTTAAAATAAGTAATTATTTTTTAAAAGGAATTCACCCACGTAATTAACCCACGCCCAATATATTAAGGAAGTTGGGCAAAGCCCATTTCTTCTGATCCAATACTAGAGGTCCAATATCTTAATTAGATCTTTTAACCGGTTAAATCATTTTCTTTCGCCATTCTTGCGAGCTTCGAGCAAACATCTGTGGAAGTCGAATCGAATAGGAAGTGGCAGAGAAGAAAAATGTTCCTACGGAGGATAGCAAGGCCATTGATGATGATGGCGAAAGTGAAGGAAACAACAGGTATAGTAGGTTTGGAGGTAGTCCCAAATGCAAGGGAAGTTCTGATAAATCTATACAGGAAAACCCTAGAAGAGATCAAGGAGGTACCTGAGGACGAAGGATACCGCAAGGCAGTGGAAAGCTTCACCCGCCACCGCCTCAATGTCTGTGTGGAGGAACATGAATCTGAAATGATTGAGAAACGGCTTGGTTGTGGTCAGGTTGAAGAGCTCATTGAAGAAGCCCAAGATGAACTCAAGCTCATTGGTCACATGAACGGTTCGTGTAATACTATGTTAAATTCTTCCTTTTGACTTCGTTTTTTTCCTTCTAAATTGTATCTGCTTTGTGAATTAGTGATCGGATGCAAGGAAAATTGAAAGTTTAAAATCTGTCGGAAGGGAAATAATTTGGTTCTATTGAATGGTGGGGATACCAATGATATTATATGAGTGTGAATGCTGCCCTCTAAAACCTAAGAAGATGAGTTTGATTGAAATGCTGATTAATTTGGACAAAGCTCGGGCAACATTATTCAAAATAAGTAAAATGTACCTATCGAGCCTTCAACTGGTGAAGTAGTGAGTAAACCGCCGTGCTAAATGGAGCATTGTGCCGCTTGCTTAAAAATTTACATTTCCAACCAGACTGATCCTTTCTTTTTCAGCAATGTATGAATGCATTTCCAAACTGACAATTTCTTGTAAATGTTCACCCTACTTAAGAACTCATTAAGGATCAGTAGTGGGAGGGAACAAAGAGTCAATCCCTTCTCCCAATAAAATAACTTTCTCCTTGTATTTGTTCTCTCTTCTATGAGTATTTGGAAATTCAAAGATTTGTCTCATCTTTTATGAGCAATTCCTTGGAATTAGTTTTTCACTAAATGATGAGTGTTAGAATATGGTGTGATTCATTAGGTTACTATTAATATGCATTAGGCAAATGCAACATATCACACAATCACCTTGAATAAGACAGATTCCTTACGAATTGTGTCCCGACATAAGTATGATTTTGTTATAGTAAGGCAACCTTACAAAAATATACAAGTGCTAAGAGATTGTTCTACAATTTATGCTCACTGCCTTGTATCCAATATCATCAACCTCTTCCTTCTTGTGGAAAATCCCCAGCCATAGACATCTACCTTGCTCACACTTCCTGGCAGGCCTTCATTGGATCAATATTTCCTTGTTTGTCATATTTTCCCTTTCTTTGTTCCTTGAGAAAGTTATTGAAGCAAAAACCACTATGTTTACACTCCGGAATCTGGAAACCAACCTGATAGATTAGCAGCTTCTTCTGGATAAATATTGTTGGAATTCAAATGAGTCTCACATTGTAACTGGATCTGGAAGGCAGAAATCTAGCCACTTCATCTTCTATAGAGTTAAATTTTCTTGATATAAGAAATTCTGTCCTTTCGTGCAAAACTTATGTTCTAAACAGATTAAGTGCTTTCTTTCCTTCAAATTCTGTCTAAAATTTGTGTTTGTTTCTTTTTGACATGTTGAAAAGAATGACAAGAATGGGGTGTGAGGATGTGGTGGTCAACTATTGATGAGAGTTTTACTTTTTATGTAAATTAAAAATTTTAACAAATACTTTTATTAATAATAATAGCACCAAGTAGGTGCCCTAAAAGCTTTGCAGAATAAGATGGATACAGTCCCTTTTAAATATGCCAAAAGTCTAGCAAATCCAACATAGCATCAAAATCATGTACATTTCTCATGTACCATCAAAATTTCAAAAACTGCAAGTTCTGTATCTGAAACAGAAAGCTGTTGTTGCAATTCCTTCAAGCGTCTTCATTTTTCTCCTGCCACACTGTCCAACAATTACACATAGGAACTGTCTTATACAAGGCTTTTATCTGTTATGTGATCCTTTGTCCCTCTCAACTGAGTAGAAACTTCTTCAGGGTGTTCCACATTCCCCTGTTGTGTTCCAAAAAGTTTAAGTTACACTGTACCCGTCAAATTTGAGTTCAATGCAAAAACAATTATTTTGGTTCTCTTAGACATTTTCAAACCTATAACACCTATTGCCAGTTCGAATATACATCTACCACATAAGGTGAATCCTCTCTTCTGCAGACTGGCTTGAGTTAAGCAATTTTGTTCATGGTTGTCCAACCGAAGCAAGCCTCCTTAGGGGGTGCTTTTGTCTTCTAGATTTTTTACACATCGTATCTAAGTCTCAAGTCAATTATCTTAGCCCACCTGTGTACTCAAATTTTATATCAACCTTCCCAGTTTCCATCTTTTTATCGTGAAAGTTTCTTCTGAGTTTTATGCTTTATGCATTCCATTTCTGCATTCTGCAAATGTGGCTCCATTATTTAGAACAAGACTACATATCAGGGAACAACTTCGTCCATGTTGACTGTTCCATCCATGTCCTGCCATACTCCTGCCTTTCTGCTATTTCCTACTTTCAGTTTTACCTAGTTATGGTTTGCCCAGATAATTAAAAGACAATAACTGATTTGTTTTCATGGTGCCATTCCATAGGATGTGGTTATTGGTCAAGTTTTGGGGGTGGACATCGGCCGCTTTGGTTCGTTTCGATAACATTTGGTTTGTTTTTTTCATGTTCGGTTCGGTTTAATTGTTTTTAGGCCTATCGAGTCAAGCAACATCTTGACCATAAATGGGTCTTAGAATTTAAAAATTGGAAAATGAAGCAGCTATTAGGAGCAGCGGCAACTGGTAAGGTAGCGTATTTGGTCATTGGTAGCAGAGGCACGAAGCACTGAGCGTGTTTTTCTTGAATACCTAAATGCCCACACCATGAATCTTTTTTCACTTTCTTTAAGGACGAATAGCGGCTTTCAAAAGAATCTGAGAAATGCTAAAGAAGAAACTGAGTACTTTCTCTCAGGGTAAATAATGAAAGAACCTGAAATACTCTCAATATGGCAGATGGTGAACTCTTGTCCTATGGAATCTTTCTTTTACTTCACCTTCTTCAATGCCGCATCTCTGATTTTGTTCATGATTAGCACTATGGAGTGAACCCTACGAATATTATGGATTTGGTTTTCGGTGTGAGCATTTGGTTTTGGCCTGAAAGTTGGAAGCACCAAAGGATGGTTTTGAATATAAACTGAAAACTGATTGCATGAAAACAAAATTAGGAAAAACATATACCATGAACTGGCCGAATGCACCTAAAACCTGGAATTTTCAGTTGGTTTTTCGGCTTTATGCCTGCCTCTATTTAGTGCACAATTGGCTCTACACGCCTCCTTTGTTCAGACTTCAGATTATATTTTCCACTGTACTTCCTCACTTTGAAACCTCCTTAGCTATTTGAAAAGTAAAATTTTCTTTTGTGCCCCCAATGTTTTCATCGTAGTTTCCCGTTCCCTTTAGGTTTAATTACTGATGACCATTTCATCAGATGCATCTTGTGACTTTGAAATTGAATTAAACAATTTCCTTTCATTTTGTCTAGTTGCTTCTCCACGCTATATGGCTGGTATAATAGTGACATTTAAGTGTACAAATAATCCATCCAACACACAATTTATTCTTCCTACAGATAAGTAGTGTTTTTAGGGAAGATAGTTTTGGTCCAAACTTGCAGTAAAAGTTTAACTGTAAAACTATGTCGTGCTTACACTGCTTTCCAGAAAGGTATCATTAACACAGCACCATTCTTTACTATTCAGGTATCATCAACACAGCACTATTCTTTACAGATCTTGAATAGTATCTCTAACCTCATTGGAACTGCTTGTAGCCAAATTAATATGCAGGCTAGAGACTGCTTCAAATATGAACTGCACAACTCTTAAGATACTTTTTTTTATATTCATCTGTCCTCTTAGAGTGAGACCATCACTTGCATACAATGTGTGGGAACTCTCTATTATATTTACGTACACTACCAATTTTGAAGCTTTTCCCAATTCCACATACATTTCATTCTGCTTAGAACTTTCATCACCAATGAGTATCAAAAGTGTGATAGAGAATCACTTCGTTTCAGTTGTCTCTGTAAAGAGAAGAAACATGATTGGGATCTGTTTATGAGGTTGGAAGACCGATGGTAGATATACAAGTTTTTATCCATATCTTCCCATAGCCCATTCTTTGCATAGTCTTAATTAGGAAATACCGATTTACATAGTCAAAGGCTTTCTACAAGTCAAAATTGTACACAACTCCCCTCCTTTTTTATCATCTTTCAGTTTAATGTCTCATGTGTGACAAGTAAAGCATATAGTATTTGTCTTCCTAGGCTGAGTGCATTTTGAGTACCTATGATTATTTTCTCTATCACCATTTTCCTTTCATCGAAAATCTTTGCCATGAACCATTATTTTATATGATCTGCCAAATAGACTTATTGGTCTGAATTCCCTAGTTCTGTTGCTCCATGAAAATTAAGACAATCAAGGAAGCATTTGGGCGTTTAATATTAGATAGATTCTGACTGGGTAATTGGGAGTGACTTGATATAAGATTCTGACTGCAAAATTTGACCAACTTTATCAATTCGTTGTTTAGTCAATTGGAGTTGCTAAAGATATTTGTTATTATACTTCCCTTTAAAGCTTTGAATCACTAACATTGTAATGCAGAGGGGTATGGAAGTTCAATCTTAAAAAGTTATTTTGTTATGCAGAGTGGAAACCTTGGGGTATTCCTGATGATTATGAATGTGAAGTCATTGAAAATGATGCTCCAGTACCAAAACATGTTCCTCTGCACCGTCCTGGTCCTCTCCCTGAGGAATTCTATAATACAATGGAGGCGGTTACTTCTGGCAAATTGGATGCTGGTTCAAAGAAGGATGAACCTGCAATTTCATCGGGTGACACACAGTCAAAGTAGGGTCTGGCTTCCAGAAGCTCATTTTGGTTATTGATCAGTACATGCAAAGTTTTAAAACTGATCATGTGCTACTCTATCATCCTTGTTTTCTTTGTGCATCTTCTATACCTGTTTACTGGAGCTGGTGGACACAAATGCTTGAATCATTATTGGTTAATAAAACAAAGGTTCCTTTTTTTTGGGTGGAAGCTAGCAGACGGTTGCTTATTTCTTTGTTTGTAAAAGCATCAACATGGTGTATTTCGTATGAAGGAAGTTATTTTTCATGAATAATAGTATATCTTCTAAACAAAATGTTTTCTTGGTTGATGAGAGAAAATACTTTATGAAAAAATGTATTTTATTGATAATGATGATATAAAATTCTAGAACTTCTAGGAGAATGGATGAAGGATCAATCTCATTTTAGGAAGTTTCGGAAAGCCACTTCCCGTTTTCATTTTACGTGCTTCCCACGTCCTTTTACGCCTATGTAGCTTCTTTTTTCCACTGCATGATGAAGCTGACATAGAATTATGGGTTGCATTATTCACCTAAACATGATATGCATTACTCTATTTTATATGTATTTCAAATTATTATGAAATTCGTGTAGTTTAATCAACGTTTTTGCTTGCTGCAAATTCTATTATCATAAACGGATGATAATTTATTTTCATTGTCTGTGAATTATGCTTTAAATTCGTTACTTGGATCATGGATGAGGAAGATAAGGCGTCGATAGAAGAGGCCCTCATTAAGTGAAGATGGCAAGCTTACTTCCACAGACTATCGAATGAAGAAGGGGACAAGAATGTTGTGCTAGGTGATTTGGAGCACTTTGAAAAATTGTCACGACCCAAAACGAGCCGCGAGTGACACCCACACTTATCCTCCTATGTGAGCGAACCAACAAATCTAAACCCCAACATTTACCAATATTTCAACCATAGTGAACAAAATATAATGCGGAAGACTCAAAACTCATTAATGAAAATCAATTAAATAACTTCTAAAACTCAATACTTATTATTCCCAAAATCTGGAAGTCATCACATCAAGAACATCTATCCTCAAATTTCTAAATCTAAGAGTATTAAGAAGATAAAATAAGTAAAAGGATGGTCCATGTCAGAACTTCAAGACATCAAGACGTGAAGGAGAGAATCCATCACGAGCTAGGAACAATAGCTCACCCTGAATTCTGATATGCTGGAGACTGGCTAGAGTTGAGGGCGAGTCGAAGTCGATGGCGCACTTGCTGTACTCCACAAAATAACAAAGAAGAAAATACAAGTAGGGGTCAGTACAAGGAACAAGTACTGAGTAGGTATCATCGGCCAACTCAGAATAGAAAGCAATATATACTGAATGATAATATAAAATCAACCACAATACTTAACAGGTGACAATCAACAAGTACAATAACCATTGGCAACAACACCAAGCATACCCTTGAGGACTCAAACCTCCACACCATACTCATTTGGGAAAATAGGTTCTTCGAATTTGAGTATATTAACATAATTCAAGATTTCTTCTCTTTATTATTATCGTGTCGGAACGTGACACTTTGATCCCCTAATACTACCGTGTCGGAACGTGACACTCCGATCCCCTAATACTACGTGTCGGAACGTGACACTCCGATCCATTATTACTACCGTGTCGGAACGTGACACTCCGATCCCCTAATACTACGTGTCGGAACGTGACACTCCGATTTTCTAATACTACGTGTCGGAACGTGACACTCCGATCCCTTAATACTACATGTCGGAACGTGACATTCTGATCCCCTAATACTATCGTGTCGGAACGTGACACTCCGATCCATTTATCCCATTATTTTATTTCATCAAGTCTTCTTTATGTCAAGGCTTCATCTTAATAGAGAGGGTTTAAGATTCAACAGTCTCATCATTCTAATCCACCACAATTACACAATCACAACATACAAACACACAATCAAGCATATAGAAGACTTTACAATACCATCCAATACATATCAATCGCTATTTAGAGTTTATCTATAGAAATAAATCATAACCTACCTCCACCGAAGAATCGTGATCAAACAAGCTACTTCCCAATGCCTTTGCTTTCCTCTTCGTTCTCTTTCTCTGCTCGTTCTCCCCTCTTTTTTTTATCTTTATTCTCCAAATCCTTTTTCTTTTACCCTAGTTATCATATAATCCGTTATGATAAAAGTAACCCACTATTTCTTTCCCTACTATCTTCTTAAACCCCCAAGTAATAAATTATTAAACTTACCCCACTAATTTCATAATTAAAATCATGAATAGTTCGAAACACCCCTTTAAAATTTTTAGCGGAAGTCTGACCAAGTCGGGGTCACGAAATTTGTGACGGTCCATCGTCTCTACGACGGTCCGTGCTGCAGTTCCGTCGTGAAGTTCAGAGAGTTGATCCCAGTACCCAGATTTCAGAGTTGAAGTATTTTGGAACGGAGACCCTCGACGGACCGTCGTGACCATGACGGTTCGTCCTACCTGTCGTCGAGGGTAATGAGGAGGGCATCAGGAGAAATTTCACAAGTATGGGACGACGGGGCCCATCACGATCCTTCGTGACCATGACGGTTCGTCGCATGATCCGTCGACCCAGTCAGTTTTTATCAAAAGTAATTCTACTGCTCGAACCGACTAAACAGGTTGTTACAATAATATTGAGATTTTGGGTATTGTAGGTACGGGTGGCAACTTCAGCCCGTATTAGTAAAATGAGCCCATTTTGATCATATATAATGACTTAGACCGCTCATATTATAATTGATCAAATATGGGATTTAAGCTATTTTAAAAATCTCTTCAAATATGGTCAAAATAGGTTCACTACGGGTATCCATTAGATCTATATTAGATCACTTATTTTCACTTTCACTCAATAAAAAAAAGTAAAAATTAGGCAAAAGACATACTGTAAATGACAAATTACATTCTATCCTATAATATCAATATTTATCAAAAATCCTTTCTTTTTTAGAAATTCGGATACTTTATAAAACAAAATGATACGTAAATAGAAATGGCCGGATACTTTATTTTTTTTAATGGTAATTGTTACAGCGCAAAAAAGGGGTAACAACTTTCTCATGATTTACGTTAATTTATAACAAGATTACCGTCAAATCTGCATAGAAAACGCACTAATTTATTTCATTATTCAATTTCATAATATTAAAAAATTCAAATTTGGAATAAAAAAATGATTTTGCATAAAAAAAATTTCTCTGGAACGCTGATTCTTAATTTTCAAAGATGAATATTTTGACCTTGTTGCGACATTCTGAAATATGGGAAAGTGATTTTATGTATGAGCATACAAAAGTGATGGGGTAGTGGTTGGTGAATATATTTCGTTCATGAATCTTATTTCAGAAATTGCGGCTGAGCTAGGTGTTGACGAATCAAAAAAAACTATAGAGATTAGGTATGTTGTTGAAGGGAATTCGTCTCCATTGTGTATTAGGACTGATATGAGTGTAAAATATTATATAGAAATTAAGAAACATGAGGCTGGTTTCGGAACTTATCCTTTATGCATTGATACTTCACATAAATGTGTTGAAGAGATAATAAATTTGATGCAATAACAGGTGTCAACATGTGTGTTGAGGGTGAAAAAAGCGACGCAAAGGCTCTCAATATTGCTGAATCATCAATTGATGATGCATATTACATACCAGAAATGGATGTTGATAAGTATATATCATACACCAATAATTCAGTTGTGGAAGAGAATCAAATGTATAAGGATAAGTCAACTCTGAAGGCGGTAATGGAAAATTACAAAATAAAGAATAGTTTCAACTTTAAAGTTAAAAGATTTGATAACAAAAGGTATGTTTTCAATTAATATGTTAATATTTTTAATAATATATAATTTGTTTGTAATATATTTAGTATGATACATTAATATTATATGTTGCGTGTAGTTTTCTGTGTAATATGATTTTATCGTAATGATGTTTTTCACATTTTGAATGGTAAAATCAGTAAATGTAGTATTTCGGATCAATTTACAGAATAAGTTATCAAGATGTTACATATTTATATGAAGTATCATTTCTATTGTGAAAATGAAATAAAGTATCTTTTTCTATTTTTTTTATTTTTTGTTTATTAAAATAGTCAACCTTAGCAAATAATCAATATATGTTTTTTTATTGCAGCTACGTATTAATTTGTCATTCAGATGATTGTTGTTGAAAATTGAAGGCATCTGTTAGGAAGAATTCAGAAACATTCATAGTGAGATACTTTAATAGTGAACATACCTGTCCATTAAGGGATAAGGTATTAAGCAAGGTACAAGCCACAGTTGGGTTTGTTGGTGGTGTGACAGCGCTTAAATTAGGGAATCATAAAAGAAAACATACTCCGAGCGATATAATTGATGATATCAGGGAAATGTATGGCGTTGAGATTTCTTATCAACAAGCATGGCGTGAAAAAGAGCGTGAATTGGAACTTATAAGAGGTAAACCTGCTAATGGATACATAAACATGTCAAGATACATGTATATGCTTGAAACTGTGTATCCAAATTCATATATAAGGATGCATAAGTCTGAATACAACGAATATATGTATCTTTTCATATCACTAAGGCCAATGATGAGAGGATTTGAGTTATGTAGGCCAGTTGTTGTTGTTGATGCTTCACATCTTAGTGGAGCTTATCGAGGTAAATTTGTGTCTGCTAGTACACTCGATGGAGCAGTATGACATGTTGTTATGAATTTATTTTATTATGTTCTTAATATTAAGTAGTTATTTAGTATATGTCGTTTTGTGTTTATATATTAAGGTTGCATATTGCCTTTGTCGTACGGAATTTTTGACACGAAAAATGATTATTCATGGACATGGTTCTTTCAACAATTTAAGAATGAAATTGGTGAGAGGAAAAAAATGTATGTTGTATCTGACAGAAATTAAAGCATAAAGAAAGATGTGAGTATTGTTTATCCAACTGTTCCTCATTTTGCATGCATATGACACCTCCGGAAAAATATGTGTTCGAACTTTAGGAGAAACAGGACCATTCTAAGTGATATGTTTTATTCAATGGCTAAGGCTTATAGGAAAGATGATTTTGAAAAATTGATGGCTAAATTGGATAAAATAGATGGAAGAGTAAAAAAAGTATCTTCAAGATGCTGGGTATGAAAGGTGGTCTAGGTCTCATGCAACAGTGAACCGTGGGAGAATGATGACTTCAAATATAGCTGAATGTATCAATGGTTGCCTTGTTGATGCACGACAACTACCTATTATAGATTTTTTGGAGGAATTTAGAATTCTATTTGGTTCTTGGAATTTCAAAAATAGAGAAATAGCTTCTTATACAAAAGAAACATTGGGTAGAATATTTGAAGAAATATTGATTTTAAACGCATCAAAAAGTGCAAAAATGAAGGCACATAATTGCTTTGTATTTATTATTTTATTGTTAAACAAAAAAAAAACTTTTTGACTGTCCCTATTTTTTTAAAATTGCAGGTTGTTGCATCTTCTGAGTTTATTTATTCAGTGTATGAAAGTGGGATTACATACATTGTTTGTCTTGAGAAAAAACTTGTTCATGTGGAAGATTTCAACTTGACGAGATACCTTGTCCACATTCAATAGCCGTCTTGAAGAAGAAGAATATAACAGATGTACACCCCTATTGCTCTGATTATTATAAACACGATGCATTAACAAATACTTATGCAATTCTAATAGAACCAATGCCAGAAAAAAGAGAATGGAAAGCTCCGGACTGTTTTGAAAGAAGTGGTCTTGCCACCTAGATACAAAAAGATGCCTGGGAGACCAAGATAAAAGAGAGAAAAATTCAGATGAAAAGATTACAACAAAAACGAATTGTTGCGGACGTTGTGGTCAAGAAGGTCATAATAAAAGAACATGTACCTTCTTTCCAAAAGATTCTTGATTTATATTTTTTTAGTATCTTTGATGCGTAATAATGTTTCTGGATATTTTAATTTGATAATAATTTGTGAACTTTTTTTATTTGATGTGATTAACAACATGTGAATGATTTAAGCTTCAAAATCTGATTTGATACTAAATATATTAAATTTTGACTGTATTATATTACGTGCAAAGACATTTATAAATTTGTAAAAATTTATAACTTATTTAATCTCAATTACATAAAATGGTAAACGTATAATGGATCTGATAACAAAAATTTGTTATCCCATTCAAAATAATAATTGATATAAAATATTTATAGTTTAATATATGATATGTGATTCTTACCGATACTAAATATATTGTGTTCATAATGTTGTATTAATTAACAAAGCTATACAAATTGAATTTTTTATGTTGCTAACACGTGGAACATTACATGTTTTGTGTATATGATTGTAATATAGTATCATACATTTTGATTTGCACGAAAAATATGACATTTTGGAGTAACTTATTTTGTATAAACTAGTATAATTGTGTAAAAATAGTATCAGATATACTCTGAAAATAATTTATTATGGTATCATCATTTATTTTGTATATATTATACTATAAATTATTTAGTATCCTGTAATTAAATAAAATAGTAACAAGCGTGTAAAAATATTATCTGTTATATTATGACCATACTTTATATGGTATCATATGTTGTAGAACTAACTATTACAATAATTAATTATATGTACTATTAATTAACTAATATAGTTGACTTCAAACAGTTGACAAAAATATAAATTAAACTAAATGTATATATATAGGTATATTATTCAAACTCTTGAACGATACTAAATATGATGAACACAATAATTTGCATTATTTAATAAAGATATACTTATTTTATTTTTTGATACTAAAATAAGAATCATATTTGTAATAATTCTATTGTTACTTTGTATCTGATTATAATATAGTATCATATATTGTTATTTACCGAATAATTAATAAATTTTAACTAAATAATTATGTGTCATTTTGTGTCATAATTGAATAAATAACTTAACAGTTATATTGTTAAAAATTTAATAGCAGATAAATTATTAAAACTAGAAATGCTTAGTAATATTGAACGAAAAATAAAAGTTGAAATATAAAATATTCCGTTCCAATAATAGTTCAAAAATAATATAAACCTAACTAATCAACATCAACCAATACATCTTCTACCTGTTTAGAAAACTCGTCTTTTGGCCTTGTTGGATCATCACTATGACTAACATATCCAACATTGAATTTGTCCATGTCATACTTCCATAATAATGTTCTGTATCTGTTACGAAGATAGTTACTCTGAAGACCAACGGATGAAATTTTGATTTCACTGCTCAAATATTCTGCATAAGCAGCTATGAACAGTCCACAATCACTGAAAAAAATGAATATACATTAAAAATGATTTGAATGTAAAGGAAATCTAAAAACTAACATTTTATCAAACAAGAAAAAATTGATTCACAAATGCTTACAGGCTATCGCTTGTTGTTGCATAATCTTTTGCGCATATTCAACTGTAAATGAATTTTGAGGACCCAACAGTTCACATGTTTCCTTGTCTTTGTACACCTCCAATGATAACCAATTAATTCCATTCGTTTTATCAAAAAAGCCGCTATCATGTAGATAGTTTTGAAGCATTACGGACAACTTTTTTATCTCTTCAGAAGGAACTCTTTTCCTTAACCCACCAGATGAGTCATACACACGTATTAACCTTTTCTTCAAAACAACCATAGCCAACACCAAATGAAAATCTTTGCCACAATTAACAGGAATATAAACATCATCAAGTAGATGCCAAGGTAATGAAGCAGGTTCAAAAATCTATTAATGATGTCTTTTATAGATTTTTCATAATTAACTATAGCAACACCACGACCAATATGTTGTTGTGTAGTCAGAGATTCATCAGCAGGAGAACAATAATTCCTATTATATTCAATGTTGATGTATGACTTAAACAAGCAGTTGACCGTAGTGTATATGTATTGATCCAATCCTCTTGATTTCGACTTCTTCTGTAAATAGTAAAAAATTACATCTAGATGCTCTTACATATATTAAAAACACAATATGATTTCTGCACACTTTGAAAAATAAATATATATTGAATAACGGTATAGATAAATTTGTAAGTAGATGTCTAAATAATATGAACGATCTATAAATTATATTATTTAAATAATTTAAATGCATAACGTACCTGATCATTCCAACATTTCATTGGATGTGACATGGTATAAAACCAATTCTTGTCAACTGGAAATGCGACAACAAAATTCATATAATCAAACCCAAGTTTAGCAGATTTGCCTCTATATTTATCATCATCGGGTTTTCTATGATAAAAAAAATTAAATTCGAAATTAAAGTACTTAAAAATGATTTTATAAATAAACTTTATTAATAAAAACTTACTTATTGGCGTGTAATTTAAGGAGTTCTTTTTGAATCCAATCTAAAAACTCTTGCATTAAATTAGTGATACTTGAGATGTAAATGGAGTAAATTGACGGATATGATCGTATATTTTGTCCTTGCCCTTATCAGTTGATTCAAACGAATGGACATAGGGAGACTGCAAAACCTTAGAAGGCATCCTGTTACGCTGAGTAGGAGTTTTAGTATCAACATCACTGACACCAAACTGGGTGGGTAGCTGACTGTCCGATAACAGATCATCACTCCAAGTAAGCTGTAGAGGAATGACAACATCCAATGGGTTGACATTAATTTCCCAGCTTGCTGATCCATGTGCAAATGCATCTGTCACTGCTACATTTTCAGGTGCGAAGGAGACCGATGAGGTAGAATCATGTGTTAAATCAATTAATTAACAAACACACTATAATTTCAATATCTTATGCAACTTAAAATATAATAATTGTTTTCAACTTTTATTTATTATGTCAGCACCATGTTCCAAAATAAATAATAATATTTGGACAAATAAAGTATTTGTTAGTCTTTTAATATATATATGCAGTCTGCGATACTTAAAATACATTAATCAATTTAATAGAATAATTTATATACCAAATTCATGATTAAAAATATCATATATATTTTTACTATAAAAAAATTAGGCAATTGCTGATGACATACAGTTTTCAAAGATAAATTAATTGAATAAGGTATCAATCATCTGAAAAGAGACTTTATTAAAAGTTTTACAAATTAATAAAGTATCAATCAATGTATTAAGTATCATATATTTAATTACCTTCATTACATCTTCATAGACCCCTTTTGTTTTCCAAACTCATCTGCAGTTTCAGCAACATCATCAACAGTTGCAAATTTCATATGCTTTGGTGAAACGGTCGGATGATCAGAGTTATTCTATTAATGTGTGTTGTGCAGTCAGTGATACTTAAAAAATAAAGTAATCAATTTCATAAATTAAAGTATATACCAAATACATGATTTAGATCATCCTTTATAGTTGTAAACTAAACAATTAGTTACTCAATGATACACAATTAGCATATAAAAATTGATGGATTAGAGTATCAAGCATACAAAAGAAATAGTTTATTGAATATTAAGGTATCATTTAATAAATTAAGTATAATATACTTAAATACCTTTGTTACATCTAGAAACCTTTTATTTTTCAATAGCATCAACATTTTCAGCATCATCGTCTACAGTTGCATAATCCTTATGCTTATGTGAAACAATTGCTTCATCAGAGTTATCAGAATTGAATTGTGTACCAACATTGTCTTTTGCCACAGAATCATCCATTATGTGTGGCGATGAGACTCCTCCCGACTCCTCCCGTATCCTTCAATTTTTATAAAAATCAACATCACTAAAAAATCAGAAAGAATTTAAAAAAAGTAAAATATCACCTTCTCAGATTTGTTTCCTCTCGCACCAACATCTTTCAACAATTCTGAATGGTTACTCTGTATTAATGCCTCAGGAGCTTCAACTTTACTATCAAGATCTGCAAATTTTTTGTCAACCTATAATCAAAATTAACATATAATAAATATTAAGAATAAAACATATAAGAGTTTAAATTACTTGATTGCTACATAAGACTTAATGAACTTCTTCAAATCATCAATTTCTGAACTGCCCAAACTTATTTTTTCATTGAATGAATTTGGAGAAACACCAACACCAGATACATTCTAAGACTCTTTTTGTTGTGGTTTTGGACTTTGGAATGAATGATCTGGTTGCTGATCTGGTTTTGAAAGTTTTGATAGATCATACTTATGTGGATGTACAACCTTTATTCTCTTGCGTTTTGGTGGGGTTGTTTCTACATTAGCACCTATTGATGTTCTCTTTAACAGAATATCTGGAGGTTTTGTTGTGAAGTCTTCAAAACCAGGAACATCATCCGGATGCACATCATCATTATCTAGAATTGATGAAACTAGTGGTTTTGGAGGTACATGATTGTTATCTGGTAACCCAAGTGATGCTATTTTCTCAGGAGTTGGCTAAATATTAGAAAATTCAATCTAAAAAAACGAACAATTAATTAATGACAATAAACATATTAAAGTTGTATCGCATAATTAAACTAATTAATTAAGAATATTGTATTGAATTAATTACCTCTAAAAAAATTATTTTCATAAACAACTCAAACTTGGGCTTCAAACCAACAACTTGCCAGTTGCAAATCCTTGGTATACCGTTTCCTTCTTTGACAGCAATATCGGTATTTACTGTAGAAGCACATTCATAAATCCATATATTAAGTGCATATGAAAATCAATTCAACCGATACAACTTCTTGGTGGGTTTGTACTTTTTTCGAAAAGATCTCATTAACTTTTGAAAAACAACTATTCCCCAAGGAAACTGTTGTAACTACCATATTCCACCATATAGAAATCTTCAATAGGAATTCATGTATCACTAAGTTGGGAATACAAAAATGTATGGATAAAATACAGTATAGCCATCTGAAGTGCATCCTCATTATTGTCCCATTCACCTACCATAAATCGGTCTACCAATCTTTATTTATTAAAATAATATGTAGTATCAGGAAAATATCTTTCAACTAA